GTGTTCTACGGACATCAAAAAGGGTGACATACATGGTCATTGCAGTCGTTCTGGCTTTTAATCTAGCATGGGCCCCTGCATTTATCGTTACCTTTATAGCTATTCGCAATACAGACTTGTTTATAGTTGTTACAATCGTATGGAACATATCCTTCTCGTTCACCTATCTCAACGGTTTATTCAACATTGTCATTTATTATATCTTTAGTGAGAACTATCGWAGTGCTTTCAGGGGTCTRTTTCATAGTTTAAGGTCAATTTGTACAGGAAAAGCGCCCAATGCTAGCACCAATGTTASAAATTGTGTGGAMATGATGCCATCCGTTCACAGAGATATAAATCTTATTGCTTTCAGGCYAAGAAATTGAATGATTTTCTCTAGGACGTTCGAAAACAATGCATGTATGTGAATATAYACATTTAGATTTTACTTAGGATATGGTCTCACGCGAAGTGATCACCATAGAACAATGCAGGAAAGTTTTAATTACATTTATGACATTGCAAATTAAAATTGTGTACCAATATATATCGGCAAAAACTATTCCTTTATTACATTATTTGTAATTACATATATATATATATACTGTTGTGTAATTACGTAACTGAGCACATTCATTGTGTTTACCTATCTTCTTCTTTCATCTAATGTATTTACAGTAAGTTTTAGTTCACCTGATTGCAATAGGTTCGGAGCAAAGGAAAATACGGAAAATGAAMATTATAGCGTTTKCACTTGTTATCTTTACTGTACGTGCTACATCAATGACGTCCAAAGGGMAATTCCAAAGCTCGCCGATAAACAATCGTACMACGCKAAATCAAGGTAAGGAAAAGGAAGGAAAATTGCGTTTCGTTCTAAGTCTTCTGCAACATAATAATCGTTATATAAAAGCAATAACCAGTACTTCTTCTTGAACTATCAATWTGTATTACGATGTAAGCGCTACTTCAACCTWAAAGTTATTTATTATCGTCAATATGTAATTGAGAGCAGCGTTATCAGAAAGAAAAACTTTMGAAAATTTATATCATCCATGCTATGGATGCTAACGGATGAACTATGACATCCATAACAAAATGTTAATTCGATTTAATATGATTGATGTAAAAAAAKGAAATATCATATTCTGTGGTTTCTAAAACGAACGGCGAAGAACTGAATCGGCACTTGTTCAAGTCAGTCCATTGCTTTTTCATCTAGATCATGAACATTTGTTGAGGGCACWCGAAATTGACARCAGAACCAAAGCCGTGCTCGTCGGCATATCAGCTATTGCAGCATCGACTTCATTTGTCAGTAACGGCATCATCATCCACAGTGTTCGAGTCAACCGACACATGCACACAACAACCAACTACTTCATCGTCAACATGGCCTGTGCAGACATCATTCTTGTTCTCCTTAGCAGCCCTTATAACATACATTTTGCCATCAGATGGTTTGCTTGGTTCCCAGGGCGGTTTGGGCAGGTCACTTGCATTGTTTTTGCTTTCACTCAGTTTATGATAGGATCRGCTTGTTCAACATTTAGTCTTGTGGTGATATCATTTGATAGATTGATGGCAGTCAGCTGTCCTCTTAAATACAAAAGCCATCGTCCATCGACCAAATACCTTATAATGCTTACATGGTTAGTCTCACTTGCCTCGGCATCAGCGTTCATAAATGCAGCAAAGCTGGTCACTTTGCCAAGTGAARCTTCAGCATATTGYATCCCTAGTGGYGCGAGTACACCAGCAATTGCTATGCTAGTCATCATCCTGGTTCCACTTGGTGCAGTCATCATACTCTGCTTTGCGATTGGATACAAGGTTTGGAAGAGAAAAGTCCCCGGAGAAGGTGGACAACAGGCTGCTGATAGGACATGTAGGAAAGTAACCTACATGATAATATCAGTTGTTTTGGCTTTTATTATATCATGGGCTCCAATCTTTATCACTAGTATTCTGTTTTATCATGTAAACTTACAAAGTGTGTTTGTTGTTGGGATTTTATGGCCCATTTCATACTCATTCATCTATCTTAACGGCTCATTTAACTTCGCTATCTACTATATCTTTAGCGAGAACTATCGTAATGCATTCAGGGGTTTGTTTAACA